ATCACTGCTGCTTCAAATTTACGAGCTGATAATTATGAAATTGCACCAGCAGATGTTATGAAAGTAAGTAGATGTTATGAAAAACTAGAAAACTAACTTAAAATTTAAAGCGTGAACTTTTTCACTTATCAAATTTTTTTTTATTTTTCTTGTACGACAGGATAAAATAAAATTTTCTATGAGAGTCTGTTTAGTGCTATCTGGTGTTTTTTTACGAGAAAACCAAGATTTTCGAGGAAGGAAAAGCTTTCAATGTTTAAATCAAAATTGAAATTAATTCAGACGAAGCAGATTGCTGGTCGTATCATTCCTGCTCTAGCAACAACAACAGCTGCTGTAGCTGGATTAGCTTGCATTGAGCTATATAAAATGATTGGTGATGGACATAGATTAGCGAATGTCCCGCTGCGATTTTTCAAGAACGGTTTTTTGAATTTAGCCTTGCCATTTTTCGGATTTTCGGAACCAATTGCAGCGCCAAAGAAGAAGGTTGGATTCAAGGTTTTAGATTTGTTTTTCTTTCAAATTTGTGTTTTGTATGATATTTGCTTTTTGAATTGACTTATATTCTTCTCGTATTGTAGTGTGCTGATGGTTATTTCACATTATGGGATCGATTCGAAATACAGGGACCGAAGAAAATGAAGGAATTAATTCAATGGATAAAAGTAAGTTATTTCATGCTTTTTAATTTTTTCCAAAATATTCAAAATATTAAAAACTTCAATGAGTGTTTAGATAATTTTAATGAACAATTTTAATCAACCATATTCACTTGCACTAAAAAATTTAATTGTGAATACGAAACACTCGAAATTTTCTTGTGCTATATTTTAGGTATTTTTTATGGATCATAGTATTGAATTCCTTTTATGATTGTAACCGCTTGAAATCTCTTGGTATTTTAACTGCGAATTCAAATATCTGTGCATAAAGAACATTGTTATTTGCTGTAGCAATTTACAGGAGGAAACAGGATTAGATGTAACGATGATGTCATGTGGAGTATCACTCATTTATAGCTTTTTTCTAAGCAATGATAAAAAAAAGGAGCGCTTGGAGCAAGAGTGAGTTTCTTCTGCATATTTGTAAGAGAAATTGTTACTTTGAAAGTTGTAGAGTTTCTAGCTTTGAAACTTGTCAATGAAGTTGTTTGCATTCATCATTGTTTTTACTGTATTGTGGGTATAGTAATGAAATGGGAGATAAATAATTCTTAACTTTGAATTTTCAGCATGAAAGACATTGTGGAGGAAGTGACAAAGAAAAAGATTCCAGACTATGTACAGTCAATTGTTCTTGAAGTAATAGCCAATAATAAGGATGACGAGGATGTAGAGATTCCTTATATCAAATTCAATCTTAGATAATACGCTGTTCTTAGGACGTATTTTCATCGATTGTGAGGAGTAATCTTATATCAGTTTTGTGTTTCGAGTTGATTTAATATAGCACTAAATCAAAAAAATTTTGGCAGATTTCAAAACTTGTTTTGTTTCACTCAGTTTAATGATATAAATAACAATTTTTCAATTTTAATTGATGTACATGTCATCGTAATTACATAACCTTGTTTGGAATGCAATGGTTTTGAGGATTTCATCGAGTGTGGACGAAAAAAATTTTATATTAAAAATTAGCTTAGGCTGTCAGTTGTTTTAGAACGCTTTAAAAAACTTTAATGAAAATGTCACCGGTTTTGTCTTCTTTACAATTTATTTGGAAATTGATTGGTCATTACTTGACACGGTTATTCATGTTTCTTAGCTGTCCGGTCATCATTCACAGCTTTCATCTATGACATTTTACGCAATTTTATGTAAGGCAATTTTACGCAGTATTACCGATGTTCTGATAAGTTTCATTTCATTCTCACGTTGTAGTTCGTAAGTTGAGTCTTTATGGATTAGACTTAGAAATTTGGTTTTTTTTCGTAGAGGGATGCCTAGACAGTCTTCCCTCCACTTAATCTTTTTTCTTTGTATAATTCTGATTCAGACGGATATTTTTTAACGCTTCTTTCATGAAGTGGATAAAATGATTTCTTTTTTTTGTCCACTTTTATTCATTCAATCTTGCTGCTTTTTTCGTTTTACAACTGTTTTACTGTTTCGAGCAAATATTTTGGAAGGTCATATGATTGGAATTTGAACCGTATATGTTCAGTTTTTATATATCATATATTCTGTTTTTTTTTGCAAAATGACACGTCAAATTCCGTTTCACTTCCCGCTTATTCATTGTTTAAGTGCTTTTTAACGGTATCTTCATGAGAAATTGCAACAGCTAATGCCGAGGCATTGTCTTAAACACGGATATATGTTGTTTCAGTTGCAAATTCGTCATTTCGGCAAATTCTTGCTTAATGTAAGCAGTAAAAGTTTATTCTGGTATCGAATGTTACGTGTTGATGAATGTTGTAGTTCAGAGTTTCTCACTTCGATGAGCTGCAATAAACTTTCATTTCGAGAAGCTGTTCTACAAACTTGAATACAAATTTAGTATGAATGAAGGATGTGTAAAAGACGAAATAGATACTCTCATCCATAGGAGAATTTTTTTTACCAATATCAACAAACGGTAAACGGTAACGAATTTCTCTCTGGAAAAAACTAAACGAAGGATTTATTACCAATTATCAACAATTGTGGGATTTGTCAGTTGATGATGATGATGAGTTATCGATGATAAAGATAATCAATCTAAATATACGGTTCCAATTTTCGCAATCGGTCTAAACAGTACTCTTCCCTGGCGCTTTCGTCATATTTTGATACTCATCACTACCCAATGCCACTTCCTTAATTATACAGCTCCAAGCATAATTTTCGAGCATTATATTTGGTCTGATTTGACTTCCACTCTATTTTCTTTTAAATAACTCACTCACCAATTCACTCCTCATCAGTAGATCCATCACTATTACTGGCATTTGTGACATTTTCGCATCTCTTCTAATTTCAAATGTTATCATCCATCAAGAGATATGAAGGGTTTTTTTCTGACTGAATTAGTTTAATTTTTGTTTGTCGTTTGGAAAAATGTATCATAAAATTTATGAAATTTGAAGGGATAAAGTTAGTTTATGGTAGTTTTTTCTGAGACCGAAAAGTTCTGTGATATTGGGAAGAATGCTAATATATATGCTAAATGATTCAGGAAGCTGATTTCTGCAGGAACAGCTTAATCGAGATTGTGATGACGTGCAACGTTTTGATACAGTTGCTCGATCACCCAAACAGAGTTCACAATTGACATCGATAGTCAGACATAATCAACTATATTCTTTCGAATTGCGGCTCAACCAAATTCTTACCTATTACGATCCAAAATTCAAAACGATTACTTCAATCCATTAGTAGTCAAGAAATCTTCCTTTATTGACACTATGACTGTCACATAATATTACTACCAATTTTCCACGATAGATAAACTTTTAACAAATCAATGCAAATCAAGAACTTTCACGACAGATGGAAATAAAGACGTTGGAAAACAAGTTTTGAGATCGCTTGATTAAACTCCGTTTGCTATTAAATGAGCTAATATCGATATTTTGCAAATTTTACTTTTGCATATTGGTTTTTGAAATCCGGAAATCCAAATTTTTTAGGAAACCAATTTGAATTTCTTTTCATGGCAACTGTGAATCGTATCATCAGACTTGAGTGTCTGATACAGCTTGAGTGCAATCCAGATTGCCCTTGTGATCAATAATCATGGTTGTTGACAAAGGTCAACTTTGGGCTTGAAGATAAACAAGTAACTGATGGATCAGTAGTTTTTTTAAAATATTACAATTGATATATTGATAGCACTGATTTGCAAATAGATGGGAATTTATTTAAAATATGTCGCAATAAATATGGTGCAACAGTGGTTGCTGATATTTTCAAAATTCTCGACTACGATTATTCATGTTGCCTATGCAGACATACTGAGCTATGGCTATATGGTAGCAGCTATGGATAATGGTATGGCGAATGCAGATCGATTTAAAAACTGAAGTAATGTATTTATTTGAACAGCCTGTTGAAACGGTTTACGGTTACAGTGAGAGACGAAATTGTTTTAGAATTTAAAATATAAGGCTGTCTAAAATAACGGAATCTTCTTTGATTTTTTTGAAGCTTTCAAAGTACGAAAATTTTTACTTCTTCCGATTCAAAATGTTTCACCAGTGACGATGAATGTCGACAAATACAAAGATAAGAAGGTGAGAGAAGCACGAAAAGTTTCTGCTTTCAAGGTTTTGATTTCCATGAAGCTAAAAGTGAGGCAACATGTATAGGACAATCAAATACGCTACCATCTGTAAGAACGCTGCATGGTCATCATTCTCCCTTGAACAGTTAGATTTCTTTTAAAACAGTGAATCAGTGACTTAAAAACTCCAATTGTCGTAACATTTTCTTCCTTTAAAAAAGTTTGATTTAAGCTAGTCACTCACACTTAACTCATATACTTAAATTTTAGAGAAAAGACAAAAACACATTAGCATGGGCGCTTGTATGGTATCCTAAAGTGAGCTATCCCAACCCGTTGTTGATATTAGCAGCAAGTTAATTTTTGCAAACATATTATTTTCTCAGATCATTTTAAAAGAATATAAACCTTGTTTTTTATAAACGTTAAAGTAGAAAGCAATAATCTTTTCTATTTTTTTATTTTTCTTAAAAAAAAATTAAAACTGACTGAAAAAAATCAAAATATAAAAATGCAGAATACTATCGTTTAAGTGTTAACCAATATAAACATATATGAAAAGCTATCTGTAGAAAATCAATTTTTCAGGTACATTGTTTCTCATATCAGTTTGTCATTCAAGATATGATAACTATTAGCATTCTCAGTGCTTTTTAGTCTCTTGTTACTTAGCTTTTCATATCATTTCCATTTTGAAATGATACTGAATTCTGTATCATATAAAAATAAAGGAAAAAATCGCATGAGTGAGTTGTTGCAATGGATAATACGTTTGCATATAAATATCCATAGCTTTAACGACTTTCAACAATGACCAGATTTCCATAAAATGCCCAAGACAGCATCATTATGCAAACAATTGACTGGATTAAGAAACAGATCTGAAATTCCAAAAGAAATCTAAATTTGTTATAACTTTTCACAGAGTTTATAAACAATTGGTTACGAATTAGCAAATAATCTAATGAATAAACTTACAGCTGTTCCGACCATCAACCGATAACTTTCATAACGGCTCCAGTCACTCCGATCCAGCAAGAATAACACCGTGACAATTAGAGAACAAATTGCAAGTATTGTCAAGATTGTATTGACAACGATCTCCTAAAAAAATGTTGTATTGCATTAGTTCTTGGAACTTGATTATTTAAGTTATACGTTTTGCCCAACATATAACTTAAATAATCTGTCTCATGCATATTAAATATTTAAAATTTGATGAGTTCGTAGAGAATGGTTGCTTGCTTTCACAATTTCTTATTCAAAATTTGAATGTTTTACCCATTTTTATTAAGAAAAATGGATGAATATCAAGAAGTGAGATTGAAGACGATGTTAATTGCATGGTTTATCATCATTTTCCTTTCTTTTTACCAAAAAAAGATACCGAAGAGGATAAAAAATTTTATTTAAATAATTGAGAAAATTGTTAGTGTTATAAAATTTCTATTTGCTTGTTTAGTCGAATTAAAATCTAGGATATGGAATTCGTTATAAAAGAGCGACTAAGTTAGCTCTTAAAAAAATGGTGTAGGATGTTCCTTGCAAATTTTTTCAACAAATTGAATGAAATGTCGGAATTATTCATTTTTAAAACGTAGGCATTGTAAAATGATAGAATTTGATTTAAAAAGAAGGTTTCAGTTAAAAAGCTTACATAGATATAGGTTATGAAGATGACAGATGTATCACTTTACATCTTTTTTATAATGCGATGACTTTTTCACTTTTTACATTTTGGAATTGCGAAAAAATCTTTTTTGCAACATATTTTAATAAAATCTGAAGCTATTTTCCAACTTTTAATGCTAAGTATCGGAGTAAATATAAAATGACCACTGTATCGGGGAATCAATTTTTTAATTTTCTGTTCTGTAAATTACTGGCTCTCTTCAGCAAGCTATTTGCACTTACAGCACTACCATATGGTACATAATTTCTTCCAACCTCAATGAAAAAGACAAATGCTTCTCTTAATGAACGTCTATTGGTTTCAATAGATAAATTCCGACCCATACAAATGAAAAAATGATATCGACAGTTCTTTTTCCAATGCAAATTTTCTGATTTAATATAACGAAGATGAATTGATTTTTACTAAACCTCATATGTTATCATTTCTGTCAGTTACTACTCCAGTAGGATGCATTACTTATCGTTGCAAATATAAAATGTTTAAGTTATATCACAATTAATGCGTAAAAACATTACTATTATCATTGGATTGGCTATCATCCATGATAAACCAACAACAATTTAACATGGTATCATTGAAGATATTAATGATATAATAGCAATATTTATAATTTTAATAATTAATAATAATTAAGTGAAATACTATAGACTCTTAATTCTTACAACAGTGCGTTTCCTCACTCTTTCGACCTTACTTTAATTCCTGTATGTATATGATATCACCTTTACTTCCCTCTTATTTCTATTTTTTTTGCTCATTTCATGAACATTACCCTCAATTGTTTCAATAAAAAAAATATCACAAAAAAACTTACGACAGTCCTAATGAAGAATATTTGTTGCAGAACGGAACCAATACTCCATCCAAGTAACAATCCACAAGTAAGTGCAATAATAATGTATGTCGTAGAGTAATTTGCACGAACACCTTTGTCTTGTAAATATATTAGTAGTATTACAACCAATGCGATGATCTAAATAAAAATATTATCACACTTCATGATATTTCGTATGTGATATGAAAATATTTTGGGAAATTGATGCTAATCTACTCACTTTTTTCAGCATGCAAGAATTACAGTAACAATCAAACGTGAAAAAAATCATCAGAGCTTTTAAAAAGTCCCAAAATTCTGAAAGATAGAATCAAGAAATAAGCTGTTATCGCAAATTAAAATAGTAAAATTAAACATTGCTTAATTTATCCGCAGTCAGTTATTTACACCACTATTTCCCCTTCATAAAGATCGCTTTTTTTTCGTACTGATTCACATCTAATCAATTAAATGGTGCTTTAAATTGGTGAAGAAATTAAATTTGAAAATTAGTCTTATTTGAAATTGAAAACTAACTACAGTGAGTAGTTTAATAACCCAAACAGGGATTGTTGAACTTCTAAAACCAGTTGTACGAGTTGTTGTGACAGTTGTTCGGCTTACTATCGGCATTGCCTATAGAAAAACATATACTAAATTAGTTAAATTTAATGCAATTAAAACTGAAACTGATTCATTTCATTACTTACTAACACTTCACAATTTAAAATGCATCTTATTTTTAGAAAGTCATTATAGACTTTCGTCTGGAACTATTCATAACTGATATTGATTTAATATCTATATTCGAAATCAATCACCTTCTATAATACAATAAATTCTAACTTTCAAATAAGGCTATTTACCACCTTCCAAAATTCCAACAGGTCACATAAAAAATCCAGAAAGTAATTCCGAATTGATAAAATTTTTAAAATCCAAAAATAACCTAACAGCGCTAGAAAATCTGTGCAAAATAACAATAAAATAAATGAAAGAAGAATTACATTTTGTTAACGAAAAAAAAGATGAAAAAAGCGTAATTTTAAAGCGAACAGACTGCTCCGCCTGAAGAATAAATAGCAGGCGCTTTCGACAAGAAATTGTATGCTATGCGAATGTAGTGAAAAATGCTTTATAGCAAAACATCTTCAATCGTTTTTACTGGAAGAAAAATACGAAAAATGATTTCCGTGAGGAACATTATGGATGAGGCACTACAAACATTGCTAAGCATTAGTACTTTTTAGTTCAATTTAAAAATAACCAAGTACTGAAAACATTTAATGAGCTTTACTTTGATCATAATTCACACCATATATTTTAGAAATAAATGATTGGATTATTAATTTGTAAATGGTAGTAATTTCTGTAGATTCATGAAATAATAATAATGGTACAGCAATTGAGATAAAGAAGACAAACAAGCAACATTCATTGGGTATAATAATTTATTATGAATCATTCAGTGTTCCCTTTCCATCACGAAACCATTCTTGGATGATTATATGAAAAATCAATTTTATTCATTCGTTCAATTTTTTTTTCAACTATGTTATTTTTTTCTTTAATTATTTGAATAACTGCAATATTTTGGAAGATATTGATGCAATCATTCTTCATTATATTAAAAAGAAAAATAATAAATAAAAAATATCCTATTAAATGTTAACGAAGTTTAATTTATGTCTGACAATAAATAATACTAAAGCTAAACCATATCTCATTTCATATTTCAATTGGAAATGATTTATGATTATGAGTTCATTCATATTACATTATCCATTCTCTTTTCTCTTTTCTACTTCTCATCTCGCTACCATTTAACTGAAATTAGAATCACAAGAAGAACAATGACCAAATGAGCAAATAATATCCTCATCACTCTGACCTTTTTTATCCTACACATGGAGGTCATCGAGTGGAGCTAAAAATTAGATTCGAACACTTTTCACTCATATATGTCTAAAAAACAAAGCAAAGAAAAAAAGAAATGAAAAATACTTGCACTAGCTGAATACAATGATTGTGAAGAAGAGAAAGAGAGTGTGACAAAAGAGCTGTAGAAATAAGAAGTTGTTTCCTCAACTTTTTGCAGTATATGAAATAACAGTTACCCTTATCCCGTCCTCTCTCTCTCTCTTTCCCCTTTTCTTTCTCTTCCTCCTTGTTCTTCTGCAATCTATTGATTCACTCAGACCCATTCAACAAAAACCCCATGCGTTATCTTTTTCCACATTTTCGACGACTGTGTGGGAAAAGTGTAAATTGAGGGTTTTGGAAATCGCGACTGTTTTCGCGAGAAATGAGACAGTCTGAGATTTTCATCCTATCGGTGTGCGATTGATATCGTCACCGAAACACTTCGGTGTAAATGACGGGAAAGGGAAAGGAGTTGAAATAAGTATGAAAAAGTTAGCGTTTTCAAAAAAAAGAAATATGAATATTAATGTAAATTGTAGAGAGAGCGGAAAGATTAAATTCGATCAATTCCTATTTCGAATTAGCAAATGATAAGACTAACACATTCAACCTGGAAAAGAATGTAGTGAATTCGATTTTGTGTAACATGCTCAAAATTTCTACATTCATTTTAAACATCTTTTCTCTCTAATTTTAATTCTTCTTTCAGTCATTTTCATTCTGCAAAAGAGGGAAGAAATTCAAATTGAATTAAAGACAAACAAAGAAATTAACGCTTATTCTTTTATAACGCGATAATCGGAAGAAAGAATTTCCTGAATGGAAGTATCACTGTATGCAATTTTAGTGCTTTTTTTTGCAAAAACATTGAGAATTTCCATTTACATATTGGTTTCCTGAAGCTTATCTCATCTTATTCACATTCCCGCGATATCGCGATTACTGCGATTTTTCTCTGCACTTCCCTTTGGTTTGCATGTTGGAAAGATTAGTTTAACGATGTCTTCTGAGGCTGGAAATAATCCACGGCAAATATCGAATTCCGATACTCTTGTATTTCGGGCTCTTTTTTTTTGAATATCTGTCCATTTATCAAGAAAGAAGGGCAAGAAGAGGAGGAGGAAGAGGAGGAGGAAGAGGAGGAGGAAG